CCTGCCAAAATTTGGAACTAAATCTCCCCATTCTCTAACAAGACTGGGGATAGGGAGAGGGAGTAAGGTTTCCCCTGTGCCTGCCCTGGGGTTCCAGGGTGCCCTGTGGAAATAGTGGGATGCCCAGCTGTGAGTGGAGAATGCTGCCCAGATGCATCTCCTTGTCATTGGAGATGCTGGAATATATATTTCACCCCGGTGTATGTGGCCCAAATTGTATAACTTGGTTTGTATGAGTTTGGGTTTTAATATTCACGTATGTAGGCTTTGGGCAACCTTTTCTGTTCAGGGTCTTCTAGACGCAGAGAACAGAGAGGTGCTGCAGAGGTGTCAGGCAGTCCAGGAGCTTGCTCTATGCACAGGCTGTGGGCTGTACACACCCTGTGTGCTGTGCAGGGCAGGGCTGTAACATGCACTCAGCGTCCATGCTCTGGTTCTGACCCAATGCATGTCCTCTTTTCTTCCTGTGCTCCCATCCTGCCTACAGCTCCTGTCCCTGCCTGGGTAATTGCAATAGCTTCATGTGCACAGCAAACCTAAAGCCAGCTCCTCCACCCTGCTCCCTTTTCCCAGATTTCCAAGAATACTCTATTTTCAAACCTAAGCAGCAGGAAAATAAACATCCATTTGCTTTTCAAAGTTCCCCCCTGCAAAGATCACATGCTAAAGAGCTCATTTCTGACTTTCTCCCTGTTTAAAAGAGAAATCACAATTTCTTTCTCCCTCTCCTGAATTTTCTCAGTTGTGCTGCTACTGTTTTGTTTCCTTGGTTAATAAAAATAAATGAGGTGTTGGCTGCGGTGGGATTTGGTGGCTTGCTGGAGGACAGCTAGCCCAGAGAAAAGCCTTTAAAAGTACACCTTTCAATTTACAGTACACATGTTACCTGAATGCAGTGCTGGCTCAGAAAGCTTCTGAGAGCAGATGCGAATCCTCACATGGCTCAATGCAACCTCAAGCCACTCTGGTGTTGTTTTCCCTCCGGGTTCATGCAGTTGTCCAAGATAAATGCGTTTGCTTGCCTTTGGAAAAGAAGTTCTTTTTCTTTGCTAGGCAGGTTTTTCTCAGCCTTCACAGCTCCAATTTTAATTTAAGTGGAACAATTTCACTTAAAGCTTTGGGCAGAAAATTCTGGCTTCATCACTTAATTTTTATGGTGAAATTATTCCAGCTATACCAACTTTTCTCTCTTCATTTTTTCTTCCAGTTAGGGAACTTGTAAATTGAAAATGGGCTTGTACTAAGCCAACATTAGAAAATATCTTACAAAAAAACTGGCGTGGTGTTAGTGGACGTATGCACTTCAGTTGGTTCTTTTTCCCCATGTTTACCCTGTAGTAAAAATATACTGTACACCATACCTTATTGTATGGAAATTTTAATGTTTGTAGAAGATAAACGCTCTCAGTGAGCCACAGTCCTATATATTCTCTTTTGCTGTAGTCAAAATTTTTGCTGTTAAATTTTAGTCAGTGCCTGGCAGTGTATAATAAATACTGTTACTCACTGAATATATACAAAAAGTGGGTCATCTCTACTGTAAACAAAACCACAGTGAAACCTGGGCTAGAAAGCCTCTTAAGAAGGTGACAAAAACTGCTTAAACCTAGGTAGTCTTCCAAACGGAGGCTCACCAGTGAGGGTAAAAGCTGATGCACAGTTTGCCATTTGGAGTGCTTTGGACTGAGAACAGAGCACAGTACCTGCACCTTTATCAATGGATGTGGCACATACCAATTGACTTTGGTGGAGACAATTGCTCCAGAGGAAAAAGCCTATGGGAAGGAAGGCAAAGTGGGTTCGCATAGTCTGAGACCTTGAGGGTTCATGTTGAGGTATTTGGACTACCTGTAGAGAAGGAACATTTGTTGTCTATTTGAAACATCAGGATTCAGACTGGAATCTCATAGACTTTGGCTAAGAACATCCTAAGCATTTCCGTGACTTCAGATCACCAAGCCTACAAGCGGGGAATGGAAGGTCAGCTTGAGGTGGAACATGATGAGACAGGTATGTAAGTTGGTTTTGTTTCTGTTTTGGGTTTCTAGGGGGCAGTGAGGCTTCAGAAACTGCCTCTCACCTGACATGGACTTCTCTGTGCAGAGAGAGGCATGGGTCCTCTTCCCCATCCCACTTGTGGACAGCCAGCATGAATAACTGGTGGGTAACATGGTGCTCGGAAGACCTGGTGGGGGAGGAATCTGCCTTTAAACAGATTTTTAGAATGGGTTGAGCAAATATCTCCCAGAAACACATTCAGTATCATTAGCTCTCCCTTGGGGCAAAGATGTGGTCTTCCTCTCACCCTGTGGATGCCCAAGCACGTACTGTGGCATTTTGCCATGGCACTGCCTCCATACACCTTCCCCAACAGATCTGAAGACAGAAAGGCAATTTTATCATGGGTTTTACCACTTTCCTTGAAGATCTCTGAAGGCCTTGCATGCTGAGATTTAATGATATCTGTGAAAGTACAAGGTTGTCATTGGACATCTCTTTAAAGACTCTCCTATCTATGCATTTCAATTAGATGTTAGAAGCTTATGGAAGCCATCCTTGCATCCTGTATTTGGAATTGATAGCATGAGGGGTAGCAGAGGTGTCAAATCAGTGTTTGCCATGTATTTCTCTCTACCGTGTACAAACCAACTCTTTCACACGTCTCCTGTTTCCAGGAGTCCCACAAGCCAGTAGATTGCTGCTGTCAGAAATGGTTTGCAATTCCTCTGTAGCTCTCAAATGAGTTAATGCCATCTGAATTTTAAAAGCCACTGCAGTTGCCTGTTGAACAGTCAGAACATAGGGAAATTGTAATTGAAATGACATAATGACTGCCACAGAAATTCTACAGTGGAAGTACATGGGAGGAATGATTTCTGGCTTAAAAACATAGCCCCACACCTGAGTCTAAGGAGGGGAAAAAGGCCTCTCCCTTCACCTCACATTCATTTGGCTGTCTCTGAATTGTCTGCCTGTCTGACTTCTGCCAAGGCTGATGTTGTTACTGCTTCTCAGCTGGTACTGCAGCAAATGGTGCTCGTTCAAGCAAAGAGCCTGTGCATTCCTGGACACACTTTCCTTCTCTTTTGGTCAGAGAAGACTTATGCAGGGAAAGGCAAATGCTGCCAGCTGCACTGCCAACTTGTTTTGCTACTCAGAACGCAACAGACTGCCTCAGGGGGGGCAAAATATCTCTCATCTGTGAGGGAGGAAGCTCTAGAAGTATCTGCTCGCTTGAAATTTAACATTCACAAGGTGGCCTTAATGCATTTTGCACGGGGCAGCTGGGGGTGGCTGGGACTTGACGCTATAGAGCTGTTTCACACAAAGCAGCACCCCCAGGCTGCGGCCAGAGCTGCGCTAAGTCTGTGCAATGCTGGTGCCCTGCAGCCAAGCACCAGGGCTCCTGCAGGACCCAATGACCTCCAGGCACTGGCAAGCACCACGCCAGCTGCTGAGAACTTGTGCAGCACTCTTGGGTCGGTACATTCATGAGATTGCCTGACGCACATGTCACCTTCCTGCAGACGGTTCTTTTGCAGGCCATTTATAGCTGGAGCACTCTCAGCAAAACCCAGAGAATTGGCTCATGTATCCCAACCCGGTAACAAACCACTGAGTAATAATCACGTAGTTCTGAGGGGTAGAGGGGCACAGGGTGGGACGAAATGCTTTGTTATCTGTATTACTCCATATCAGAGACACTGATGGAATTATTTGGAACTCACAGCTCCAACAAGAATCAGTAATGTAATCTTTGTAAGGTACTTTTTTTTTTTCTTTTTTCCCTCGGATGCGATGTTTCCAATAGGCCGCTTTGATATGGGCTCTTTGGGCACGTTGTTCAACTTCAGTTTGTTATGTACAACTCTGAGGGTCTGCTGCGTCTTGGAAGAGCCCATAGCTGTCAGGTCTATTGCTTTACTGGCACTCCAGGAAGATGGAGGGATTAAATCACGCATTCCATAAAACTACCTACTAATCCTTTTAGTGTGCATTACTAGTGAATGGCCTGAAATAGGCTCTCACCAAAAGAGCCCTAACATTCACTTTCTCGGCAACGTTTTAGTACATGAGGTTTGCATCATGGATTTGGGCACTGAAATATCCAGTACACCGTCTTCTGTCTGCTGCTAGATCCGCTCACATGTATTAGTAGAGTGCTAACAAGGTTACAGTTGGTAAAGCAGGTTATGTGTTTAGCTAGTAGCGAGACATTTATAAAATAGAATTATATGGTTTCTACAGTGACAGAGTCACTGGGATTTTCTGTTCTTTTTTTTTTTTTCTTCTTTTTTTGTTTTTATAAGAAAAAGAAACAGCTATAAAACCATGATTAAAAATGTTACGCAGGATGATTTACATTTTAAAATAAGGATATTTTTAGAAGAAAAAAAAAGTGATTTATAGCATAAAAGTGTTTGGAAAGTGTTTGGTTGCTGTGTACTGCCTTCTTTCTCAGTACAGTTTGCTATCTGTTATACAGTCTTGCATAAATGTTTAGATTAGGGGAGAAAAGAAAAATTAAACATGATGGCTAAGACCTATAAGAGTGGACTCACTGACTTGAGTTATTGCTTTGCAGAAAGTTTGTAAAGCCTTTACATCCAGCGAATACTTAGTGCTACTTCATCCTTGACAGCTGACCTTTCAATCTGATGGGGTTTAGCAACAATAATTGCAGTATCTGCAGCACAAGCAATGCATAAGGCTGCTTAGGAACCCAACCTCTCTCATTAGATTTTACTTCAAGCGTCTGAAATTCATCCCCTCTTTGCACAGGTGTGCAAATTCTCTCGTAATACCTGTTATTGGAGCTGATCAAGGTGCAATCCCCTGGCTCTTTTATTTTCTTTTTAAATTTCTCATTTTGAATATTCCTGGATTTAGCTTAGAGGGGGGAGGAGAAACCTCCAAACCCCTTTCTCTCTCCAGATACTGAGTCAGTACTGGTTTATTTTTTTCTCAGTAAGACCTACTGTAAAAAAGCAACAAACAAACAAGTTAGACTGTTGTAATTTGGTCAACCACTCGAGTGCTATCCATATCCACCATTTCAACACACTCTATTTCCTCACGGTTTTCAGGATTCTTCTTCTCTTTCCTCTTCTTCTTGGACGGTGGCAAAAAAGTCAATATCACAGGTAAAATGGCAAAGCAGTGAAAGAAGGTGACTAATGCTATTAAAAACAAGCACCTGAACAGTGTACGGGTCAGATTTGAAGGCACAGCTGCAAGAGGAATCAGACCAACAATATAGCAGAGGTAGCTCTGCAAAATAGCTACCCCATGCACTTCCAGGGCATTTTTCACCCATTTAGTTCTTGTGAACTCTTTGCCCAGGACAAAGGTTGATAACAGTGGAGCACAGTTGTCAATTGTATAATTAATTCCGTAAATCAAGCACAACACAGAAATACAATCTAGTTCCACTTTCCACAAGGTCATAAAACCTATAACTCCAAACTCAACCGAGGCAACAGTTAGAGTGAGCCATACATTGATCAGAGAGTCTGCCACCAGGAATGCAGAGAAGAAGAGCAGAAATAAAGCACTAATGCAGGAGTTTTGTAAGGGGGCTCCCACTGAAGAGGCGTAACGATCCATGTACACAAATGATGGATTGAAAACGATGAATTTCACCTTGGAGGTGAGAGAGAGCTTCCTCAGGGTTTCCAGGAGGTCATAAAGTTCTTCCCTCTTGGATTCCATTGTCTTGGCCACCAGGAACATTCTGGAGGCCACGACATCAACTTCGTTGTTGTATTTCTTGGAAAAGATGATATCCTCTGAAAAATGGGCAAACTGAGGGGCTTTCAAGAAGGAGTTCCTCAACATATCGGTGAAATTTTTCTTGGGCAATCCAGTAGATATGTTGAGTTTCCTAAGGTAATTTAAGTAGCTCTCAAACCAAGATATCCTCACAAAGCCCTTGGTATACTCCAGCACGTCCTCCTGGACACTGGTGTTCCAGTATTCTATCGACTCGTAGATGTAGAACCCAATCACCGGGCTATAGTTACTGAAATACTTCTGCTGGGCAGCCGTATACTCAATGGTCCGTGTAGCGGTCGCTACGATGTTGCTCAGGTCTGACCCTTCACTGACCTGCAGGTAGCCCATTAAGGCAAAGGAAATATAAACAAGGTAAAAGAGAACTACAAAAGGCTTGACGTAAGTGTTTGTTATCCAGTCACAATAATAGCGTTTAAGGAACCACACCAAAAGATGACTCTCGTAAGTGTTCGTTTCCTCTGAATCCGTTGTGTCCTCACTGAATCTGGCTGTCAGAAGAAACCTATACCATGCAGGCTTCTCTTGCAATACCTCTGGCTTTGGTACCTTTCTACAGAAGATACTATGCTGGTAGTTGTTTTCTATGTAGCCAGTAAACACCAGGCTGGAACCATAAAAGGAGAGTACATAGAGGTAGTTGAAGAAAATTGCAATACAGGAATTGCAGCAGAAAATCCTGGCTGCTTCAATGTTAGTGAAGGGACTGGCACCTATTCCAAAAGTGACCAGGTACATGGCAGTGGTGAGGGAAAACGAGAGCATGGAGTCTGCAAATACGGCTGCAGTCCTCTCTTTAACATGTTGGTCTTCTCTAGTTTTTCTCCAGGAGGACAACATTTCAAAAGTCCCATATAACCCATGACCTAAAATAGAGAACAAAGCAAGTATTTAAAGTAGTATTTAAAGTGCTCAAATAACCATGTGGAAAAAGGTAACATGGACATACTAAAAGGCTCCAAGGAGATACATCTGGATGTTAACAATTCTTGAGGTAAGCATCCTGCAGAAGAGAGAAAATATTATGGAGCTCTAAGCCACTGAAGCGTGTTTGCTACCTGACTAGCAAACCTTACTGCCAGAGCTGGAGGAGAGTTCTGCTTCACTGATGCAGGGTTGATGGGTTAAAGAAAAAAGTATTTTCTCTGGCTGGCTGTTCCGTTTCAATATTTTGGAGTGCCTGTGATGGAAGATGCTTTGAAATTAGTTTTTCTTGGTGATGGAATCTGACCTGTGGTGGAAACAAAGAAATATGACCTTGAAGTGCCAATGCTGGAAGCAGAGCATTAGTTGGCTGCTTTGTAGAATGACTGCAAAAAATGAAACCTTTATATAAGCTGAATTCTGTCAAGTAAATCAGTCACTGACTTCTCCGCTTCCTATACAGATTTTCCATCAGGAAAAAGAAATCCTAGAAATGGAACAAAGAAAGAAAAGCACAAATAACTTTTAGAGAGGAAGAAATGCAGAATTGACATGAAACTGCTTAAGACATTATTTTTCTTACTTCAGCATGTCTAAGGATTTGTGAAACCAAATGCAGCTCTTTTTCCCTTGACAATTCCTATATTTTGTAATTAATTAATTAACTCTTAAAATGGACATTGTGTTCACGAAAAGAAATAACAACCAGCAGAACTAAAATCCTGTGGGTAACTTCGAAGTGCAGACAAACTGAGAAAATTGGATGGTTTTATTTTAATCTCCTGTTGGCCATCCTTCTCTTCTGGTTCCTATTTTATGACTGATAAAAAAGATGCAGTCTAGGGCTACTGACCTCTGCTCACTCATAGTAGACCTGAGTTAGGAGTGCAGTCATCAAGCAGGAATCAGATGTGAGTAGATGAGATGAAAGTTGGTTTTACATAGAGGTGAAAGAAAAAAATACAGCCTTAACAAAAGTGTAAGATTTTAATATACTCATGTTATAATAGATGCTTTCCATTGAATCCTACCCTATTCACTGTCTTTTCTCTTCCTCCTTGGTTTTTTTTTTTTTTTTTTTTTTTTTTTTTTTTCCCTGTCCTTTCTTTACCTTTCCAGTTTGCTCTTGTTTTATCTCAGAAATTCTCACAAGCCAGTACCCAGCGCTTTGCTCTTACCCATTTTCTGGTAGCATTAGATGAAATGATCAGAGCAGAATTAGTCACCGACGACAGTGAAGTGCAGTCACCGGACTGCTCAAGTTGGTGCTCCAGTCCAGCAGGTCAGGGCAATTCACAGATCTCCATTAGAACTTCAGGCTGTCTGCAGGCTACCAAAATTGTTCTGTCGGCCATGTTCTCTTCACATGTAGATGGTTATCACTTTTGACACAGAGGCTACAAATATCAGTCAAGAAACCCTAAACAAATGGGATATCCTCAGGAACCAGGACTTACTGTGTTTACACTTAACTGGGTTAAATATTTAAGTCACTTTACAAATTAACCCTTTTGTGGTCAGTACCTTTAAAAACAAGGTAATAGGACATCTGGTTTACTTCCTTATCACTATCACCTGGTATGAGAATAAACAAGTCCACACTCTCGTATCTAGCAGATACCATGCCTACACTGTTGTCTGGAATCATGGCATGGAACATGACTGTCCAATTTGTAGCAATATTGCAGTCCTGGTCTTGATACAGCATTTGGCCTTCATCTTAATTGCCCTAGGCAATGTTTTACAGCTGCTTTCAGATGCCAGGTCAAGACTGTCAATTTGATAACTAACACCGTGCCCTCTCTTAAAACTAATGGGGAATACTGGAACTCCCCAGATGTAAAATAAAGCAAAAAGCACAATCAGTGACTGGCACCCTGCTGTTAACTATGCGTCAAATAGTTATGTTCTAGGCTCAGTAGGGAAAGCTATTAAGCTTGCTTCCAGTGTGTTCTTTGTAAAGACAGACTGACCTTTATTTAAACGTAACTGATCACTTGCCAAAGCAGGGAGTGAGAAGTTTAATCCATTTATGGCTCCCATAAGTCCTGCAGACAGGCTTCTCTGAAAATTTCACATGGCATCGTATGCATTAGCTTCTAGTGAGCAAAACAGTATAAAATGAGGTCATTGAATATTACAAATTACTTCCATCATGAGCTTTAGTTATAGCACGTTTTTGCAAAACAACATTTCAGCATTAATAGGCTCCTGACTAAAAATATTCAGATAGCTGCATTAATTCGGACAGCCTTTGACTTTGCAATGAAAAAAATATTAGAGCTAATTAGATATGAAGCAGGATTTTTTATCTGTCATAAGATTTTGCATAATGTCTGATAAGACTAACTCCTGATACCCTGTATTTTCTTTAAAGAGGAAACATAAAAACACTTTCGGGACATCACTCTACACAGTCCTTGAGACTATCCTAAAATGGCAATTGATTTGGAGGACGGTTCAAGCAAATGCATGAAGAGGCATCCCCTTGTGTGCTTCGCAAAGCCAATGGAAAAATAGCTAGATACCATTCTATTTTAGGCTCGGCCCCTCACTACTCAATCTGTATGCTGGGAACTGTCATTTTCCTTCAGTGGTACGCTCTCGGACTCCTGTGCCCATTTGTACAACAGCTACAGAATTCTGATTTACCTCTCGGAAGGCCTGCCTGGATGGCCAGCAGACTTGCATACTGGCCCGACCCCATAAAGATAAATCTGAACTCATACACAAATTAGGATGGCTGACCAAGGATTTAGCTATAATGAGATGTACCTAACTTAATGTACTCATCTAACTACTGACTACAGGCAAAACTTGGAGTGATTATCTACAGCACTGTCTGATGCTTGTACGGGTCTCAATAACAGAGATTAGGGCTGATAATTGGTTAGCGGAGGCATTTTGTGAGAATTTCTTTCACTCTCCTCTAATTTTTGTTTCCATTTTTTGCATCCCTAACTGATTTTATTCTCTTGCTAGTGCTATGTCTAACCTATATAATATTAATGAGAACAAGGCAATTTTTCCATTGCAAATAAATTACGTAATTACTTTAACCGATTTTCCCTTTTTACTAGAGACTTAGCCACAAATCTGTAATGATTTGCAGCAATTTGTTCATTATTCACCGTCACTCAGTAAATAACAAATATGAACTCAAACAGCTAATGGGCTATTGGAGATCTTTTGCTGTTGACATTTGCTATTATGATTCACTGGTCGTGCCCTACAGTCAGGCTGTACAACTATGTGCTGAGAACACGGAGTACAAGGAAGGACTAGATTGTTTTATGGAAAAGAGATTCTGAATGGGCAAATGAAAATGTTATAGGGATATGAGAAAGGTATTGGAAGAAATAGGGACCAAAACCTTTTTGTGCATGCTGTCCTTTTCTACTACTTTTCATTGTAGCAGATACTGCTACCACATGTCTTGGACAACTGAGGACAGGAATTGTGACTTTTGTAGACAAAAAAACCCACACAGCATAGCCACAATTATGTATTATTTTGAAGGACCTTAAATTTAGCATGGGCTATTTTTAATTTTAGAAAATAATAACAATATCAGTCATCAAACAAGTGATTCCTAGTTTCAATACAGTGCTTTTATGAGTAGCCTGAAAATGCTATAAAAAGTTTCATTAGCCTCCTTCAGGATCAACTACACATGCTTTGCAAAATCCGTTAGAGTGCGCACAAGAGAAAAAAAATCTTGTGGGGAGTTGTGAAAGCGAAGGCAACATTTTCTATTACTTACTATTATTGTTACTTATATAATTTTAAACAGTACTTTATGTATAGGCACTGTGACCATTCCTTTTAGCACCATTTTAAAATATTGGAAAAGAAGTGCTGCCTTTCTTCCTCCAAGTGGCTGCTCAAGCAAGAGACATCTGGCAGCTGAGGCTTCAGGCTGGCATTAAAAGCAAATGAGGTTGGTTACTTATCACAGTAAGAGGAAGTCTGAGTATTCAAACAGACTCTTCCAGTGAGAGAAAGCATGGGGAATGACTTAGAGTGAAGTTTTGGTTCCTTGCAGTTTTACCCATCTATGAAGTCACAGAATAACAGCACAATGCGGGTCTTGTTCTTGATCTTTGCAAGGTTGTGTGCCTGTGTGTGTGTTTGATACTTGAGCAAAAACACTCGGAATAAAATCTCCCTTAAGGCCCTGAAATTGCATTCTTGGCACTTCCTTTGGAAGGCAGCATTTTATGACAAATTAATTTCATTCATCCCACTTTAGGGCAGCTGTATACGAAGCTTAATGCCCTCTGATCTCTGCCTCAGCCATGGTGAATGTCACACTAACATGGACGATGCCCACTGACCACTAGCATTCCAGCTCACAAAGCTCCAGTACCAGCACAGAGAGCTCCCAAGGCAGTAGGCTGCTCTGGCAGCAGAACTGGAGAGAGAGGTCCTTCTCATCCTTTGTTACACTCCTTCTCTCCTACCTGAGCCTGCTGCTTGCCTGTTGCTCCCAAGGCTCCTGCTCCTAGGGCTGCTTCTGCACCAGACTAACAGGATGACTGGGATTAGAAACATTCACAAGATTTTTTGAGAGTTACTTTTTAATCCAAGCTGTTTTCCTGACACCAGTGGCATGAACGATGGGCTGAAAATGGGAATGAGTCATGGCAGGATGCATACATGTGTCCTGTGAACTGCACCAGCAAAGCCTGACATGGAAGCATGGATGTCGCTAGGCTTAAGCTGGGATTTTGATTTAAGGCTTTTGCCTGTATTGTAATGACTGTATCCTTGCAACACTATCGGTTCAGCTATAGCAATGCAGTCTCACTTAGGTTAATGCAAGTCAGAAATCATCCCAGCGAAGAGAACACTTGCCTGCAAGAGGCATTTAGCGTGCAGTGAGGAAGTGTACAAATTTACAGAGCACTGGCTATCTTGCACCAGTGTTCTTTGTGGAAAT